CATTTTTGGTATTCCGTAACAATGTGTGACGACGACGATGTCGAAGTTTTCTTCGTCATAGCTTTTGTTGACGACTGAAGCGTTTGAACATTTTTTTTTTAGAAATTAAAAAAAAAACATGACTGGACAAGAACATGATACATCATTCTAGAATCTATTCAATACTTAATGCAAAATAAAGTGTAAATAAAGAAAAATATATGGGATCTATATATAAATCTGTACCGATTTTGACCAATATCAACAGGAATCGTCTATGCGCCAAATAAAATTTCATCCCATTCGGATCATTTTGTAAATTGTTTAAAATAATACATGGATGGAGGGACAATAAATCGACTGAAAAATAATTCTATGTACATATATAATAAAAAGAAACTATGGGTCTATCTCGTTTCTTTTTGGTCATTGCAGACACATTTACCCTGTGCCACAGTGAGGTGACGGATACAAACTCATTTTTGCCCAAAAATATGCAACAATTTTTTTGTTTTTATTGATATTATCGATAAATAGTCGACATCGTCGCATGAGTGTTACAGAATACCAAATCAGTGTCGAAGTGATGTCGATGTCGATGCGAAGTGATGTCGAAAGAGAAACGTCGTCGACAACGACGACGACATACGGAATAGGGGTGAATAAGTTTAAAATGTTGGATTGGTGTCGGAATCTAGACAACTTCGACCTACTTCTAGCTATAATAGAAGATATTTGAAAGTGCTTTCGTTCAGAAGATCTTGGCGCTATGTATGACATTTAGCAGGTCGTCTGAATAAATACAGGAATTTTAGTAATATATAGAATATTTGTTAACGATTTCATATTTCAAATAACAATAAAGCATTTATTTTCTAAAGTAATTAATAATTAATATTCTGGTTTAATTCGACGTGGATATTTTTTCAAATATTCTTTAAAATGTTTGGCATAATCAGTTGTTCCTTGTTCGGCTGTCCTATTAAAAGCAGCAGCATTCGTTGTCCGGTAATAATTCAAATCTGTATTTGTGGCATATAATTGTTGTGGTGGCTGTGGAGGATTTGAATGATATTGATATTGATGTTCTGTTGTTGTCGTTGTTGTTGGCGATGTATTATATGGAGGTTGTAGTTCCGGTTCATTGTAAATTTTTACATTTATTTGGGGTTTTCTCGAATCTTGTCTTTGTGTGGAAACTTCATTGTCAGGTGAGCTAAATATTTGATGCCGCCTAATATCGCTGTGATAAATTACTCCATTGCCATAATTAAAATGTGATGGCTGTAGCTGTTGTGGCGCTACATTTGGTTGTGGTTGTAATTGTCCTCCTTGTTGTAGTTGCCGCTGTTCTCCATCTTCGTATTCTGATCTGTGGTTGTTGTTGATATGTAGATTTTTGGGTGTACGCAAAGATGGTATTTTGCCTCGCAATTGTCCATCATCAGAGGCAGAATAGCCAATATCCTCAACTATAATAGGTGGACCAGACCACAAATCTGTGGGTGTTGTTATTACACTGGGTGTAAATGGCAATGATTTGGTATTGTGTTGGAATGGCAGCTGCTGCTGCTGCAATTCATTAATATTATCACCATTATTGTAGTATGGCGAGATCTGGGCAAAATCTCTGTTCGAGTAGGAGAATGGTGTAAATGATGGAGTATTGTAAGGATTTGCGTGGAAGTTATTTGTTCCAATTACTGGCAGCTGTTGTTGTTCTTGTTGTTGTGGATGAGGTAATGATATGTAATTTCGTTTATAAGAATTATAGTTATCCACTTGTCCCCAGGTATTGTGAAACAGCAGCAGTAGTAAAAATGGAGACATTTTTATTTTCTAGAGAAAAGAAACAAATTTTAAATTAATAAATTGGAAATTCCATACATTCAAAACGGATTTCAATTATTTATTACTTACTCTATGATTCATGTTGTGGTTTATTCAGAATCCACATAAAAACTGCACAATTTCCAGCATTAACATTCGCTACTTATATATAAAAACTTAGAACCTTGTTGTTTTGTAACACAGCAACATCTCCACTCCGGTGTGAGCTATGAAGGGACATGGGGGAGGCAGGAGGAGTATTGCTTTTGATTCTATTAACTTGGCACTATTGAGTAGTTTAAAGTTTTGCCGCGGCTACGACGATGCCGCCGATGATGTGATGAGCTTCAAAACATAAACCTCACGTTTTTCCCTGAACTCTCACAACGAAAATTATTTGAATTATTTCATATGGAAAATACCTGTCGCGGTTGTTTGTCACCTCCTCATCTGATTATAATTATCCATTTATGTATGTTAATGTTATATGTGAACATCGTCCAACTTATGGACTATTACGCATAATTGCTACTTGGCGGACGGACGGATTGACTCTCTGCCTGGTTGCTTGCTTGCGTTCGACTGATTTGTTTAATTTACAAATCTAATTGTCAAATCACGTAATGTTTTTCCATTTCCTTCTGATTATCTTGTGCACGTTTTTGCCACTATAAAGTAGCTACCTGCTATGAAATAATTCTCAAAACTAATTCACCTGCCTAGTTAAACAATTCTATTCAATTCATTTGTGTGTGAGTGTCACTTTTTTGGTTTCATTCTTATATGACTTTGTTTTTATGTTTTTCTAGAGATTTTTCTTCCAAAAGTATTTACATATGTATATGACCATTTAAATTTAACGAGGGTTAGTTGAAAAAATTTAGGGAATATTTAGAAAAAAACCCTATTCTCACTCTAACGAAGATTTTGAATATTATATTGTGTCAATTTGCAATTCATAACATTTCAGTTGTAATTCGAGAATGTAATTGGTAATTTGGAACATTTCATTTTAAACTTTTCTTATGAAATTCAAACAAACACATTTGAAATTTAAAGAATTTCATTTGTAATTCATATCTTTCCATTTGAAACTTCAAGGAAATTAGTTTACAATTCAAAGAATTCAATTTGAATTTCATAACATTTCACTTGTAATTAAAAATATTTCAGTTGTAATTCGTAACAATTAATTTCAATATTTTTCGAATTTTTTAAATGTTATGAAAAAACATGAAATATTATGTATTTCAAATTAAATGTTATGAATTTCAAAATTAATTCTTTAAATTTCAAATGGAATTTTATGAATTTGAAATGCAATCCGTTGAACTTCAAATGGAAGTATATGCATTCAAATTGAATTCTATGAATTTCGAAAGTTATTCTATGAATTACAAATGGAATTCTTGAATTACATTTACTATGTTTAGAATAATATTTGAAAATGGTGTAGTTGGAAATCTTAAACGAAAATTCGTTTAAAAATGTACTATTACCCAAAAAGAAGCGGAATTTTTACGTTGGGTTATATCAAAACCTTCCAGGGCTGAAAGATCCGGTTAAAGTCTTTAAAATACCGAGAATAGGATGGGAGCTATACCAAACCGTAAACTGATATTTACAATTTTTGGTAGGAAGATTTGACACCCCCGTAAGAATTTGATAAATCAAATTAGAGCGTCCAAACCCATCAAAATATCGAATTATATCTGGGTTACCCGTATGTCATTAATGATCATTTTTTGGGGGATTTTCTACCGAATACGGAAGTTTGGAATGTAGCGCTATATGTGGGAGCGCTATATATAGAAGATTCCCTAAAAAGTGAACCAATATTGATCATGTTTAGTAGGAGGATTTGACAAACAAGAAAAAAGTGTCAGGCTGTGTTACCGACAAATATATATCCTCAGCGTATGGTTCGCGGAGGGTTTTGGAATTACACAGATATTTTATTATTAGCTTTATATAATATATATGCTGTTATCAAAGAGGTTTCGGTTTTTTATTTTGATCAAATCGGTTATCCAATTCGCTTTAAATTAAATTTACAAGTTTATAGAATATTGACCATTTGTGGGGGAAGTACCAGAAGGAGTGGACCAATGTCTCCCATCTCTGGAGCTCATGTAGGCTAGGTAAATACAACAAGGCAAAATTTGGTTAAAATCTAACATTCCATTCGCCTTACAAATATTGAAAATTTGTACCATTTGTGGGGGAGGACTTGATCTAGGCTTAGTAAAAAAATAGGTTGTACAAAATTTGGTTCAAATCGGATAGTCATTTCGCATCATATTATAAAATTACATTGTTGCACAATTTTTACCATTTTGTGGGGGAGGAGTGATCCAATATTCCCCATCTTCGAACATAAACTAAGTTTGGAAACGGATTTGGTACAAATAAATATGGGCTCTAAAACCAATATATCGATGAGGCACATTTTCACCGTATCAAAGTGTATATACCATCATTAGCCATAAGGTTATACGGTTATATATGGCCTAACCCGAATATTTGTGAGTTCCGCTATATGGGTGCTATGGCAAAACGTGAACAGATATATCCCACTTGCAATTCAACAGACGGACAGTCATAAATCTACATAGAATTTTATTCTGATCAAGAATATATAAACTTTATGGGGTCTCCATTGAAAATTTCGATGCGTTGCAAACAAAGTGGCAAATATACACTCCACCCTATGGAGGGGGGTATAAAAATTAACCCCTATTGATAATTATTGGTAAGAAGATATATTACGCCTTGAGAACCCAAACTGCCAAAATAAAATCCCATTCGGTTGAAAAACGTGTCAAAAAGTCTACCAAAACGCGGACCAGTATATCCCTTTTTCAATACCAAACATCCTAGGAATAATTCCAATGTATGTACAACATGTCAGAGTTCTATCATAAATATTGCTACCTCTATCGTGATTTCAAGACAGACACACGGGCTATACTTCTTATTGAATTATTTTTAGTTACAAAAAAACTACAAAACAACAACAAAATTATGTCAAATAATTTTCTTATCCTTTAAGTCTTCAAATGCATTTATGCAAAGTTACAAGCCTTCAATATAATGCACGTTCAAATTTTCAAATCGTAGCCAAAAGATAAATTTTCATTTCAATATATTTTGTATTGATTAATAAATGTCATATTTTCCATTATTTACAGATGAAAACACCTGCGATACAAAATGATTTCAGTTATTACCGACGCATTGTCAGTCGGCAACGTATCGATGCAACAAACAATATGCTGGTCAGTACAGAATTGGCCAATCGTATGTCATTGTTTTATGCCCATGCTACACCGATGTTGAAAGTATTAAGTGAAGCTACCTCTAAATTTGTTGCCGACAATGCGGACGATGTGGACAACACAACGGAAACGCTGGGCACAATGGCCAAAGTGTGTCTGAGAATGTTGGAAAATCCGTAAGTATAACAACAACCATTCCAAAGTGAAATATTCGAATATAAAAACTGTAGCATATATTAATTGTTGTTTTTATTTTTTGCTTTCCTTCCAGTAAACTCCTTCAACAAATTGAACGTGAAGAAACCCACCTGCTGGTATTACGGGTTATGGTCGGTCTTGTAATACTCTACGATCATGTCCATCCGGTCGGTGCATTTGCTCGAGGTTCTCATGTCGATGTCAAGGGCTGTGTAAGACTTCTACAGCAACAACCTGCAATTAAAGCCGAACCCCTGCTAAATGCTCTGCGATATACAACAAAACATTTGAATGAAGATAACACACCTAAAAATATACGAAATCTATTGGCAGCATAATATACAAGTCAAAAACAGAAACAAAACAAAAAATCAACCAAATTATTCTATCACTACTACTACTACTACAAGAAGAGCAAACAGACAAATCGAAAGGCCAGGACAATGATAATGATGATGCCGAGCGGTATGGATACATTGGATGTTGCCAAAAAAAGTCCCAACACATCATATGAAAAGTGTATCAATAAATAACAATTGTTGAAACTCGCCATCAACATCCTCACACACACAGGAGACACACATCCATCATGGCAATTAGCTTTGCTTCAATGTCATCGTCCTAGTTATTGTCGTCGTTTATACATAAATGATAGATTTATACATACTATAAGTAAAAGAAAAATATTCTAACTGCATGTGTGCTGCAAATGTCTGTTTTTTTTAATTATAATTAATTATTAATTTGTTTTTATATGCTATAATTATGTCTACATTTTATATTCAAAAGAGAAATTATTTAATGGCGCTAATGGTGCTACAACCAAAAAAAAAATTCTTACAAAGTTTAAATACATTTAAACCTTAAGTTTTAATGTTTGCAAAATGTTCTCAAAGAGTGAGGTTACGACAAGAACGAAAAATTAAAATTGGCCAACAATTTCAATACAAAATAAAAATTCTTAAAATTAATATGAATTAAAATTCTTTAAATTTGTTCATCAATTCTCCGTTTTTTTGTGTTTTTAACTCACATATTTAGGTGTATTTCGATTAAATTTATACAACCTTAATCAGAATCATATTAAAATTATTGCACATCATTCTTATGTCAGCCGTTTATTCTTCAGAATACAAATATTTCAAAATCGTCGAGCTGTTTACCTGCCAACATTATTAAAATTAACAGCCTGTTTTTCTATTTCGAACGAAAATCAATGCGAAAGAAAGTAACTCACTCACTTTCGTTTAAAAAAGCGTTCCTGTATTTCGAAAGCTATCGTTCGTTTGTCGTAACGTATACCATGCGAAAAACTACTAAATTAAATGCAATGTTTTACAACAATGTTCAATAAAAGAGAGTCAAATGGAAAATGAGAAAAACTATACAAATACAAACAAACATTTTAACATAAAAAATGTCGAATGTCGAATTTTATTTTCCAAAAACATGAATGAAAAATCGAAGCGATACCTATAAATGATGTTCCAAAAATGTTTGTTTTGTATGGAGATTGTGTTGTGTGAATGTGCTTCAAATTTTGGTACATAGTTCATTCATTCGAAAACTATAAAGCAAGTGAGTGAATTTGACATTCTCGTTCGCATGATGACAGCTTTTTCGTCATACATAAACCCAATTTGTAAAGAAAAAATATACGTTTATGTTTTCTTTCGAGTTGTTGATCGTTCGACTTCTTTTGCCTGTAAAAACTTTTTATATAAACCAAAATTGATTTTCATTCGCATTGAAAGCGAAAGAAACATTTCTTTCGAAATGCATAAACAGACTGTAAAACCTCTAGTCTTTCTGAAATTAAAAAACCACTGCATTCTCGGCATCCACGGCCGTTTTGAGGTCATATTGAACGACGACGGGTGTAGATCGCGAAAGATCTAAATCAAATTTAAAACGAAAAACAATTAAAATACTGAAATTATAAATCCGTTTATTATTATTTTGTTGGTTACTATTTCCTTCAAATATCGATAAACACGTTTCGTACAAATATGAGACCCTCTAATAAATAGCTATCTCGTTTTTGTCATAACTATACTTTTTGAGAATTTATGAAAACTCCTGAAATTAATTGTTTTCCCTGTATCTGCTTTGCTGCTTATTAATTTTATTGTTATATAATTACCTTTTTGTAGCACCGTGTGTAATTTAAAAAACTTGTTTTTTAATAGGAAATCTAATGTTAAACAAAAATATATATCTAAGCCCCATTTAAATGCAATTATTTCTTTTTTCAAAAAATCTTTCTTATTTGCAATATTTTTCATAGATTATTTTTACTTATGTATTTTTTTTTCTTGCTACTTTTTGCAACAATATTTGTATAATAATTGTTAAGTTATTCATCGAGATATTGTGTTGTGTGACAGAAATGTCTTAAATGATTTTTGTTTTTCAAATAAGTTTTATGAATTGTTTTTTTAAATAATTATTTGTGAGTGTGTGATTTTTATCATATATATGTTTTTAAGTATTTTTTAAATATATATTTTACATAACAACAAGATTTATTTTTGTGTATAATTTTAAAGAACATGTTTTAGTCTTTTTTTATTGCTGGTGGTGTCTAGTATTCAAAATGCATTTAAATAAAAAACCAAAAAGAAAAACTGAAACAATAATGAGTCCATATCCTTTACAAAATTCCTTAATTATATACAACAAAAAGATAAGAAAAAATAAATTTATTAAAAATATAATATATATGTAACATTTTGTTCTTAATATATACAAATTTTATTATACAAAAAACAAATTAAATACAAGTAATGCCTCATGTTTTCCTTTTCTAAAAATATATAACACCATCATTAAAGAGAATAAATTTTTTATATTAAATTGATTTATCTTTTGTACAAATACCAAAAAACAAGAAACAAATCTTAATATAATGAGATGTGGTGGAAAAATAATAAATACCAATGTCAATATAATATAATTTAATTCGAATATCTCTATTGTTATGTATTTATGATTATCAGTGCAAAGGAGGTTTATTTGCTGTGTATACAAAAATCACATTTAATTAGTATCTACAAAAAAAAAAACACAAAACCCACAATGTAACTAAAACAGCATTTTGAAAAAGGAAATAGAAAGAAAAACAGACAAAAAACTAATGAAATTATTTTACACCTTAAGTAATTTTAATAAATAAAATAAATATTTAAATAGTTAATATTAACAACAAATGCAAAAGAGATGTCATATGTTGCAATTTTCAATGGCTTATTTACAGTTGGGTGGTATATATTATTTTTTTTTAATTTATCTTCTATTCTGTTACTGACATATATAACTAATCACACTTATGACATAAGCAGAATGGATCCGTTGAACCATCCGCCGCCTTATTTGTTATCTAAAATAAAACAGCCATAAGGGAACGATAACAACAACGCTTCGCGTTGTCGAAGTCGTTTTTGGTCGATTTTAGGTACAATTTAAGACTACTCAAAATTTTATAAATTTGACGTATTGAAACGACTTTCATAATTCCGATTTGCTGTATAATGACGACAGTGCCCAATTTAACACCACATTGAAATGCAGAGAAACTTGGCAACTCTCCATTTTAGCCGGTGATCATTAGTGCGGCTAAAATGGGGATCTCGCGGGACTCAATTCCACACTTTGTATCCAGTTATACAAATGTCCCAAATACCTTGAAACACCCATCAAAGTTCAGATCTTAACCTTTAATTTTTCGACTATCTCACGGTAATTTTTCCATGTCTGAGTCTTTAATATTTAACATTAATTCATCCGAAAGCATAATATTTCTCCCCTCAGTCGGATTCTAATTACTATAGCTTTTACGAAAAACAATCTGGCTTTACGATTCGTTTCAGAAATAAAAGAACTTTCTTGATAGTTTCTGGTCATGTATGGCTGCTACCATATTTCGTCTACGCTCTGTTCTATCCTATATCCAAAGATAACGGTCTCATATCGACTTTTTGCATTAAAAAGTTTAAAAGTCGAAATCGACTTTTGATCTTTGCGGAAATCGCAAAGTCGACTTTTCAAAATCGACATCTATTTTGTTCATAAATACTTGGTTTATTATCACAAACCCCAAATTACCCAAAAATACACATTGCGTAACTCAAGGTGTAACAACAAATATTTTACAAAAACAACATTGTTGTCATAGAAATTAAATTGTCACGCTGACAATAAGTTTTTGAAAAAAATAAAAACAAACAAACAATTATTAATTTATTTTTGTCAAGAACTATTCTTTGAGGAATAATTAATGAATTTGTGTATTCTTGGGTTATTGGCGGTTTCGGCCAGTGAAACATAAAGTTTAAGACCTGGTCGCGATTAATTTTAAGTTTCCCACATGTAGCCATGGCTCCTTGTGATGTTGTTTATATTGTGGATTACAATCTATTTTTTCTATGGAGCCACTCAAATCTCGCCTTCTTAAAAAAATTGAAGGACATAAATCCCCGGCCAAAGATTAAATCATGGAAATTGTGTTGACCGTATAAAATCTTTCTATAGGCGTATTTAACCTCCGCCGAGAATTGTGACAAGCACCAATGGGCCGATTCCAATATAGGCTAACATAATCTTATCGATTTTATGAGTAGCTGGGATTTCTGGACAGATTTCCACACATAATATACAATATGTGGACCAATCGGCGAACGGGTTATAACTGAGACTAGGTTTCCTTTCCGTCCCCCTCTATCAATGTAGTTTTCTTGAATTTTTATTATTCCAACGTAATACTAGTGTCAATATGAATTTAACAAATTATGTTTTTAAAAATCACCCAACAGGAAAAATGGGAACGCATACAATTTGAAATTGTTCTTTATTAAATGTGCTCCTGCATTCAATTTACTCAATCTGCCTGCTGGGAAAGTTTGAGGAAGCAAATCTTTCTTCAAGGAATAACTCGCTATTCCCAGAATTTTCATATGTGTTACACATATATATGGCAATGGCTCAATTATAGGAAAGATGTGGAAGCGATAGAAATATAAATTTGATAGATTTTCATTCATGTTTTTCAATTTTTATTTTGACGATTCGAAAATATTTCATTTTCAAAATAAAAATAATTTGATGATAATTTGTTTGTTTTTTACATTTTTCTGTCAAATGAGTTGACACTAGTAGAACTTACAACAACAAATTTCCATGTGGTTGTTGTATCGTTTTTTGTACAACAACACTTGCTGTTACCTTCTATTATTATACCATGATAAAAAATCAATTTTTTATTCGATTTTGTATTTGTTTGTATGTTATGGAATTGACGTTTGAAATCGTCAACTTCTCCTACATCCAGTAACAATTGCTAGAATATATCACCAAAATATCTAATATATTAAATTTAACTCCACATTGGAATACTGAATGGCTTGGCAACTCTGTAGAGTTATTTCTCCACATTCGGTTATCATGGTTCCGTTCCAGAACAAGTTTTTCAACTTTTTACTCAAATACTTTTCCTGAACCCACAAAACTGAAAAAACATTGAATCAAATTTTGTAGGGACATTCTTTAATTAGTTTAGATTAGAATAAAATCAAAAAAAAAAAATTGACACCGAGAATGGGGTGGTCACCTTAATAGAGCACAAAACAAAATGGTGTTCTCTTTGTAAACTTCTTACTCGAGAAATTTGGCCGAGTATAAATTATATACAGAAATGCCTAGTTCTGATTGGCTATTATGTTGATTTGCCATCTAATTTTGGCAAATATATAGTAGATTTGCGTTCCCGGACTTTTCAAATTATTTTGTACTCTGAGAGCGATTTAGAAATGTTTCCATTTTACTAGCTTTACTATTATAAAAGTACTGGAACATACCGTATTCGTTTCATTTTTAACTTTGGCGTTTTTTATGTAATCCTGTGTTGACAACATTCGTAAAAACATATGTTTTTAATGTAAACAAAAACAAACTGATTTGTTGCTGTTGCTATTACTGGAACAATTTCACAACAAATCCAAAGCATTTCCAAAATAATGTCAAATAAAGTAATTTCCGTAAATAAACTCCTAAAAACCACCGATATTGGAGGCGACTGCAAATCCTATTTTTACATACAAACAAAATGGCTGGATGACCAAATTTTACTAAAATTACAAGATTCCCAAACGAATCAATGCTATTCGGGATCAGTGAGTGTCGCCCAATTGAAGGAATCAGCCAACGAATTAAATATTCCATACAATGAATACTACGAAGAATGCCGTCAAGCCCTCACCACTTACATTGCACTGCCCGGTTGTACCTATAAATTAGATGAAGATGACAATGCCTTTAAGATATGGAAATCTGAACCGGGATCTATACCAATGTTATATCTGGAAATACCCTTAAAAACAATGCGACATCATTATGATATTTTGGATACAGCAGTGGAAGAACTACAAAATCAAAATAAAGCTTTAAGTGAACGGGTGGAAAAAGCACACAAATTTGATGAACATTCACGGGCGCTACTGGACGATTACCGGCTGTGCGTTGAGGAGAAAAATAAATTGGAAAGGCGTCTTTTGAGAAAAGTAGCTGCATTATTGAATACGAAAAAACAAAAAATTGCCGAGTTGGAGGAGCGTCTAAGCAAATATGAAAATGTGAATCGAAATAACGAGGAGGATGAGGAACAAATGCATGAAGATGATGAGGATAGTCGAGGTAGCCGACCGGAAAGCTCAAAGAAACGTAGAAAACAGATTATCGAAAGTGAAACAGAGGATGAAGATGACTTCAATGCAGAAACAGAACCCTTGACAATGCCTGAAGTGAGTGCGTAGAATATATTAAGTTTTTTTTTTTTAATTTAGTAATAAATCTTAAATCCAATTTATAATCATTTTTATAATTTGTACTATCTTTTCAAATAAAACATCTTTTGTTACTTGGTTTTCAAATTAAGAAACCAATCATTTTAGAAAAATGTTCTTCGTTCAGTTCTTCGCACCTAAACTTCGAGTAATATAATATAATCATAAACGTTAAATATTAAATTAACATTATGTAGGTAGTTTTGCAAATTTGTACTTATGTGTACGATAAGTACTAAATTGTATTTTATTCCATACAATTTTGATTTTGGGTGAACCGATAGAGCTGGAACACTGAAATTTGGAAATAATATTACTACTGCATTGTAAATTTGAGGTATGTTGGTAGTTTGGGAAATTCGTACTTTTGTGTACTTAATTTGGTACAATTTGAATTTTGGGTGTACCAATAGATCTGTAATCCTGAATTTGGAGTTAGGATCACTGTTGGGGTGTAGGATTGGGGATACGTAGGAAGTTTTGGAAATTTCTACTAATGTTTAGTAAATGACACTAAATTTGGTACAATTAGGATTTAGGTGAACCGATAGACCTGGAACACTGAAATTCGAAAATAAGATTGTTGTTGGAGTGTATGATTGGGGATGTGGATGTAGTTTTTGAATTTTGTACTTATGGGTACTAAATGGTATCAAATTCATTACAATTTGGATTTAGAGCTGGAATAGTAAACATTTTAAGTAAAGATTATTACACCGTGCGACAAAACAAAGAAGACATTTGTATCGGTGTTTTGATAGTTTACGTCGGGGGTAACCTAAAAAGGCGGAACAAGGCAAATTATGATTTCTTGAAATCCTTGCATTTTAGGTATATAGTTGGTCTGTTCCCGTACTGCAAGACAATATAACTGATAAAATATCGAGGAATATTTTTGTATACAACTTTAACCCTTAACCGACTCATTGAAGGGGTCTTTTCGGTACCCTTTTCCAGAAGAGATTGAAAACTCATTCAAAACGGGGTTAAAGCTGCTCAGAATATTCTACAGAAATGTTCGCCATAATGTTTTACTATCAGTCTCAGAATACACTAAAACTCAAAAATCAGCCTAAACGTACATATTACTATGGCTTTTCCTCTGTTGTTATGATATCATAACAACAATTTTTGTTACATCGTCGTTTTCGAAGAAGAAGTACAATCTAATAAGTATTTGAGGATTCTCAGAACTGCAATTACAACACCCTAACCGTAGTTGTACGGTTATCTCCTCTTAAATCAGGATATGTGGCTATGACAGAATCAATCAAGTGAAAAGAACTTCATTTCAAATCTTTCTGCATTTATTCTTGTATTCCAATTTAAAATGATCATACAAATATAATTATTTTTTATATTTATTTCAAATTTTCAAAATAAATACATATTTTTTCTTTTTAATAAGATACTTAATACAAATAAATAAAACAATATCTGGAGAATGCTATAAAAATGATTACAAAACAATAAATCATTCAATAATAATAATAGACAGGAAAGTCGCGCAAATATCAATACAAAAAATATTGATATCGCATACAAAATTTTGACCAATGTATAAACATAATAACGGAAAAATTAAGAATTTTCAAGAATAAAGAATATATATAAATATTTAAATATATACAATTGAAATGCAAACAAATAAAAATGATGTAGACATTTTTAAAGAATTTCCATTTCATATAAATAATTAAAAATTACAACAACAAAAAGAGCTTAAAAAACTAAAACATGACAAAACATACTAAGAAAAAATAAACATGAGCAAAAAATATGGAAACCACGCTCATCGTGGAAAATAAAGGTAAACTGGAAATTGGGTTGGTGAATATGTTGAGCGAGAAAACTGAATGACAAATGTACACAATTATTTTGTAATAAAAACATATACAAAACAGAAAAAATATAATAATTACATCATATAAACGGTGATGCGTTCCAAATTTCCAATGTTATATTACTTATATTATAAGTGTATAATATTAGTATAAGAGCAATACTTTTATCGAAGTTATGTTAGATTTTTTTTTCTGGTTTTTTTGATATATACTTAGTTTAAGTTTCACTGTAACTACGATCTGCTTCGATTTGTTTTAATTAGACATTTAGTAAAAAAAGAAACAATTAAAGCCAATATAATAATATTTGATGTACTCGTTTGACGATGATAATGATGTCATCTTCGTAGAGGAGGCGGCTTTTGCATAGTGAAGAAGAAGAATAGGTATATAGCAGCAGCATATATAAGCTCAAAGTAATAACAGATCTTCTTCGGGTTTCTTAGCTTTTGCCTGTTGATTGGTTGGTTGCTGTACAGCAGCATTATCTAGATTATTCGTGGCATTAATTGTGGGAAGATTTTCAGCTGCAGCTGCTCTTTCCTCTAAGAATTTATCAAACTCTGAACTGGTGACAGTTTCTTCGAGACCCTCTATCGTTTTCTGTAAAAATGAGAAAAGAAAAATTACTAACTGACCGTAAACATCGTGACGACAATTGCAATAATAATTTTTATAAACCATATTGTAGAAAAAGTGATGATGGAGATAATATGTGATAAATGGCAGCACAAAACAAAAAATATGAATAACCAAAAAATTTAAGAAACAAAATCATTAAAAGAAAAATATTACTTACTGAGCTGCCTAACCATGCTTCCATTTCATCGATTTCATTTTCTTTCACAGGCTTTTCAAAGTATCAGCAACAAAAAATATATGTATGTACAGGAGGAGGTTTGTGTGGAAATCATAATGTAACCAAACAAAAATGTGTGTTTTCATCACATACAAAATAATAAATATTTTGTTTTACAGGGGAAAAACATAAGGGATAAAGGAAAAAAGCGTTTTGTTAAAATAAATCAAAAATAGAAAACAATGTATAAATTAAAGTAAAAGTTCGAAAGAAAAGGGAGAATTAAAAACCAAAAAGATTAAATGCCAATTAAAATGTATTATGTTTAAAATATTAAAGAAAAGTCAATACAAAAAATATTAGTTTTTTTGGAAGAAAATTGTTGGTACTCACTTTACTTACCACCGGCAAACCATTGCCGCCGGTACGTTTAAATGGTGATCCTACACTTCCTGCAGTGGCATCTAAAGTTGGAATGTCTTTTAATAAATCACTTTTACTGCAAAAAGAAAGAAAATAAAACTCAGTTTTTTAAATAGTTGAAGAATAAGTGATTACGAGTTATACCAAAAATATATCAAATAACTTTTATATTGCCTATATTCATATTCATCAGGACATGCGACCTCGACATCAGTGTTCTACGGTTTGCAGTCAGGGTCCCGACTATATTAGAACGGAGCCTTGTTGATACCTGTGCGCCTCAACAAGTTCATTCATGCTTAGTTGCCGAATCCTTTCCATAGTCAACTCTGGGACGACTAACCCTTGTCAGACGAAGAAGCCATCATGGAAACTATAGTGATTAGCACCACGGTGACGAATTGAAATTCGGAAGTTCTCCAGGAACTATCCGAATGATATTTCGAGAGACTTTTTGATTGAAAGGATTCCTAAACATAGTGCGAAGACCACCACGGTAGTCCCTCAAAAAAAAAGAGAAAACTGCTGGAGGTCCTAGCACATCTAGAAAGTTGTTTCTTAAACTTTGGCTCTAATTTGAAATTATTTTGAGTTCATGTAACGTGCCAACTATTTGTTCCAGACCACAAATAAAGTTATTTTGAATAGGGAGAAGCAAAAAATGCGAGATGCGGATTCGCATTTTCGAAAATGGTGTTTGAAAAAAGATTCGTGTTGCCATATTGTAATTTAAGTAACAATGTGTGTTGTTTGTAATATTTTTCAATATTTTATTAATTGATTTTAAAATTGTAGCTTTTTATTGTTATTTAAATTTTATAACAATATAAATGTGAAATATCAAGAATCCGCTGTAAAACTGTATTGTAATTAAAAGAAAATAAATTATAGTTTGAAAATATTGTAATGTACGTCTGGGGAACTTATTTTGAGCGAGTACGATTTGAAAAATTTTAGCTATATTCCCAATCTCGAAAACCAATTTTTTATGATGTTCACGTCTTTTTATATTAATATGCAATTATTTAGTTACCTAGAATCAAAATATTTGTTCTATCCAACTCCAGTCTCGGATAATATGTTGCTTCAGGTTCAATTTTGTTGGCTTCCTTTTCCATACCACAGACTCTCATAACACACATTTTCCATACATATACTTTTGTAGTTCTTTTAGAATTTACTTTGCTAATTTTTTTATATTTTTTTTAACCTTTTTATTAATTATTAAGAAATCAAACTCAATTATTGTATTTAAAATGTTGTAAATATTTGCTGTTCTGATGCTTGCAATATTTACGAATGAGTGAATAACAAACTGTAAACTTCGACAGTTAACATTCTCATTGAAAGCAAAATCAATTTTTGCAATTCTTTATTTTGATCCGCTGTTCCGATTTTTTTCTGTGGTGACTTGAGATTCTGGATCCAAGAACGTAAGTGGTTCGTTACCAAACTAAACGAATTAATCTCTGTTTACCAAACATTCCTATGTTTGTCAAACATATCGCATAAGCAACAAACATTTCTTCAACAATGCAATAAATATTGAAATTTCATGTATATATATATATATATATATCACATTTCCATTTTTTAACCGAGAATAAACATAATAATTAAGAATAAAAAATATATATTTTTGTAAACTACAAACATATCATACCTCTTCTTACAACCTTGCATAAGGGGATTTAATGTGGCAACATTAATGATTAGTGTGCGATGTTTTTAGAAATGTCAATTGGACTTAAAATTTGAGGTAATGAGTGGACAAATAATCCAAGTCAACTTCCTTTTATCATCGTCTTTAAAAGTGATAACATCATCAAGTTTCCTAAAATCTATCCAAGTGTAAATTGAACATCCAATTCATAAATCCAATCGTTTTCGTATATATAAATAAGTCAAGTCTTATTTAATACTGTTGCCAAATAATTTAGTTGAAAAAAACTATAAGGTGAGACTTGCAAAATAATTTACATTTCAATTCCAAAGTTAACATAGTGTATTTTTTATAGTTTGTGCACTTAATACAATATATTTTTTTTGGCACTCCACTGAAAACGTCTTGGACGAAGATTCCTGTTTTAAGAGGATTCACGCTGCCCATCGGGTAGCGTGATCACTTTTTTTTTTTTTGACACTCTCCAATTTGGCTAATTTTTTTATGAGGAAAACTTGATCATAAATGTATACCTAACAACACCATTAATTGGATTCTATACCAGAAATTAAAGCAAAATATCAGAAAAAAAGACTCCAAAAATTTGTTGGCCAAAAAAAAAACCCCACAACAGTGGCACATACGATTGATTTATGGGATTCCCTTATCCCCATTAAACATCTATGAGATCAGATGCCCGATCATTTTGTTCCAACATACCTGAAAAGCCTGAAAGATCGATGAAATATTAAGAAGAAAGATCCCCCTAAGCTTCCCGCATAACACCAATAATCGAAAAGATACACCATCTACAAATTTGAAGTCCTCTGAAGCACGTAAAATTGCCACAGGCATAAATTTCTCGTCAACCATTATGAGATCCTCCGATCATCGATGCTATGCAAATGGTCCTGAACCATCAACTGATACCTACTCCCCACAATATCATTTTTAAGTATCTTCCCTTTATCTGTATTTACATACATTAATTAATGAGTCGATTAATCATTCTAGAGAAGAGTAGTTGAATGTAAGAGACAGCTCCATAAAAAATTCTATTCCAGCAATCATCAAACTGAATATGCAGGAGGCCTTCTTCGTATTGTGATTTGGTGGTAAGTTAAAAACAGCTGTTTATTTGCACTCTCTCCGATTTAACAAGTGATTGCTTTCTCTTACATTAATTTTATATTCGAGTAATGAGAACTTATGAGTGATTTACATGTGCTCAATTATACCGCAATGTGGTGAATTTTTTTTTAATTGAGTGAAGTGCTCTCTCTCTCTCTCTCTATAACTTAGAAGCTCTCATTACTTAAGAAAAATAAAGAAAGACAAAAAAATCACACCTTGTTACATACATATATTTGCATGTAATGTTAATATGTCATTGCTAGATTCATTCTGTGATTTTTTTGTATCTTTGTTTTGATAAGCGTTTGCTTGATTTTTTATTTTTGAAATAATTTTCTATAGAATTTAACCCCTTAAGGGCCAAAGATGAATTTTTGAATTTCTTTTATTAAATAAATAGTTAAATAATAATTAATAGAATTAAACCGCCTAGGTGCATATAAATTTTCCTATTAATTATATATATCTATATACATCTAAATTCTTGTCTAAAACATGCCATATGTCTTGAATAAACTTATAAATATTTGCCAAATGATGGCCTGGTAAATTGATATATATATATGTTTTCGAGCCAAGTGAAGTGAATAAATAAGTAAGTATGTTAGGGGTCCTATGAATATAAAATTAAGCGCTTTTAGGACATAGGCTGGAGAGGGTAAAGTGCGCATTCTCACAGAAACACCAGTGGGAATCTACATGTGAAAAGACACCAGTACTTCAACAACCTTGTTTTTTTTTATCAATAGTTTCAAATGTATAACTAATTTGGGGATTTTTTTTATTAGTTATCCTGGTCCATATAGATACAGTCGTAACGTTTTCTTATCTAAATAAAAAGGGAGTCTATTAAATAATTCATGTAATGGATACATGGTTTTGATGGAGAAGGACCGAACCTCCCCACCCGGCTGACTGCTAGCAGAGAAATGGCTCCCGCAGTCCTTCGTCCAGATAAAATTCAACGGTGCTATGAAATCAAATTTTATGGAACGTGCACCTTATCCTGAATAGGACATTACATAAATTTGGCGCCCAACGTGGGGCCAAGATGATAATGATCATCATGTGGCTCTTATATTTTTCTTATTAATTTTTACTAATTTTTTTAATGTTCGTAGATTTCAGTAATATTCAGTTCAAACAATCTTCTGATAGAAGGACTCATTCTGCGAATAGCTGGATTTTTCTTCCTGGATATTAGCATTTTGGCATATTTTAAGACCGAAACGCTAACCGATAGAAAGTATACAGACATTTCGTAGAAGCGACGAATAATATCTAGAAGAAAGTCCAACTGGATATATTCTATTATTCTTTTCAAAATGCGGATAGTTGTAGCTGAGATACTACTACCAACTACCTTATTCAGCTAGGACTTCAATAATTTAGCATTACAGCATTTTATTGACCACTGAATAGGAAAGATGAATGCTTAATAAAACGTCTTTAGTGGTTTGCTCCTGTTACTAAATTTTGAAAGGTATAACCAAGTCAATAGCCCAGTTTTGAGTTCCATACTGTTGTCTTTTCAAATAGCGCATACATACTTTATTCACATACTTCACTAAATGGCAAGAAAACATATGATTTATATTGAAATAACGAATATTAAACACAAATTTAAATATAATTAAGTCAAATAGATATATTTTCATGTCAAAATATATCTACATTAGTTAACTTTATTATTAGAAATTTTTATAAAATACTATTTTAATATTAATACTATACTTATAATCTCAATTAATAACTTCATTGCTACTAGAACCGTTAATCTCCTATAATAAAATCATAATTATTTTATCAATTTATCTACAAAAATCTTCATTATCATTTAATATGTCTGATTGGATGTTATTTAGAGAGACAACTTTGAATTGAATATTAATACTCAACATTCAAATGTTGCTGTTATTGCATGCTAGCAGAGAAATGGCTCCCGCAGTCCTTCGTCCAGATAAAATTCAACGGTGCTATGAAATCAAATTTTATGGAACGTGCACCTTATCCTGAATAGGACATTACATAAATTTGGCGCCCAACGTGGGGCCAAGATGATAATGATCATCATGTGGCTCTTAGATTTTTCTTATTAATTTTTACTAATTTTTTTTTAATGTTCGTAGAATTCAGTAATATTCAGTTCAAACAATCTTCTGATAGAAGGACTCATTCTGCGAATAGCTGGATTTTTCTTCCTGGATATTAGCATTTTGGCATATTTTAAGACCGAAACGCTAACCGATAGAAAGTATACAGACATTTCGTAGAAGCGACGAATAATATCTA